TCTTTATTCTCCACTCGCTGTTTTCTTCAGCCGGTACATGGTGAAGGACATGTCTAGGTACTCATTACAAAGATCAATTAAAACGAGTGTCAACGTTACCTTCACTGCTGGAAAAACACAACCGACCATTACACAACAGCAATTAAACACGAACAACTGTTCTTCATGACAGTGACGAATACAATCAGCTGACAGACGATTTCCCGTCGGTCTTTGCTGCCTGGCCAAGTAGGCGTTAGAAACTTTGCAGACATATCACTGGATACAACAAACACTTCTCCACTCTCCATGCATTCAGTTTCTTGGCCCAAACGATACTGTCCACGTGCATTATATAATCTTCCACCGTCGACACATAATTATGCCCGCATGCGACTTCCTCGTGCTCTCCTATTCACACACGGGTTTCATTTGGCCAACATTTTTCCTATGCATCTCGGCTTTTCACTCGTTAGATTTAAATATATCATTCACATTTAATACCTAACGTCATTCTTTCTGTAGCATAACTTATCAAGGAGAAAATAGTTCACTACATATCTGGCATACATTCTAGACTGGGTCGACTGGAGGCCAAATTTTGAAGTAAGAAAATCCGATTCGATGGGAAATCGAACCCTGGACCTTCAGAGTAGCTGATGAGCGTCTAGCTAATACGCTACCACGGCTCCCTTAAGAAATAGTTATTACTTTATTGTGTCTAGATTGTTGTCTTACTCACTGCACACTTTTCACTGTCTTACTGTTATGTTTCAGGTCATGAACTGATACAAGCAGGTGCTCTGTTCTGACACAGCAATGGAACTGGATATTATTTCGACAAATCTGGTAAAAATGACTTCGTCAGACTGGTTCAATCAGTCAGACTCATCCCAGTTGACAGTCTACAACAGCACCAACGTAACGTCCCAGTTGACTAGGGATGAGGGTATAGCGGTCATTGAAATGGCCGTTAGCGCCACCATTTTGTTTTTGGCCATTGCCGGAAACTGCTGCGTGATTCTGTCCCTTGCCATCAAACGGAAACATCTATCGCGCATGCACCTAATGATCCTCCACCTGTCATTGGCCGATCTGTTTGTGGCCTTTTTCAATGTTTTACCTCAATTAATTTGGGACATTACTTATCGGTAAGTTCGCTGAACTCGTTTGTCTTCGCTGTTGACTTCTTTTATGTGCTTTATTGTTTTGTGTTTGGAAATTAACGAGAGGAAGCAACATAACGAATTTATCTCCCTGTCAACATCACCTCTGCCTGTTTACCTAATTACGTAACTGCCTTCTCCTCTGTATATCAGTCTGTCCGTCCGTCCATTCGTCCATGGATCCACCCATCTATCCAGCCATCCACCCATATATCTATCCATCCATTCGTATCCCGTCCGTTTGTCTGGCTATCCATCTATCTGTCGGTCTGCCTTTCCACCTATCTGCATGTCTCTCTAACAGTACACTTATCTGTCGGTATTATGTCCCAGTTCATATGTAGCTGTGTGTGTGTTTGTTTTTGTTTGTTTGTTGTTGTTGTTGTTATTGCTGGTGCATGTTTATCTGTGTTTCTGTCCCTCTTTATGCCATTTATCAGTTAGCTTGTACCATGTCTAGTGTGCGTTTCTGTCTCTATTGTATATATTTTCCATTTCTGTCTTACCAGTTTACATTTTATTCATCTATGGTAACAGCCCACATGAATGTCTTTCTATCCTGTTCGTATGTGTTTCTTTCTGTATCTTTTTATCTGCTTTTCTGTTTGTGTCGAAATAAATTAACACCTACACATTGTTTAAAAAAAACACATTTATAGTTTCTATCCGAGACACATTTTTTACGTACATTGTTGAAAAAAGACACAACTCAGTATGTCATGACTTAAAGTTTAATTAAATCAACAAATAGATTCTATTGTTGCGCGCCCTGGATACTGAAAAATGGAGTCACAACGGCTAGACGTGACGCCCACACTGCTCAGCTCCTTCATGACAGATGTTTGAAAATGTTCGGTCATTTGGAATTTTGTATCAGGAAAAACGCAGCTTTTTAGCCTGCGTTCGCCCTTATTTAGAGTCTCGGTAAACTATGTTGTAGTTTACATCCAGCTGCAATATATACATCTTTTAACTCAACATATCAGATTCAGCACACACACCAAAAATAATAAAAATCGTTGCGTGATAAATGCACGGAATCTTTCGGCAGTCAGACAGTGAATGACTTCTAATCATATAGTGGTATTCTGGATAGATGATGTGGGTGTTCAAGGCAGTGAGTGTGCAGATTTTCTGGCAGACAAGGCGGTTATCACGACTGGCCCGGCAGTAGACAGAAGTGATATCATTAATGCAATATGATATGAATATCGCGAAGAAGATCACATCAAGCATGACTCAGTATCATTGTCTGGGTTGTTGGACATAGGGGTGCAAATGGTACAGCCAGACATAAACATGTTACCAAAGCATAAGACGTCTCAATAATCAACACATAAGGGGTGTCCTCAGTCGTTTTACACTTGTGGAGCTACTGAGGGGGAGATCGGAGCACCTATGTATCTGCCTGGAGTGGTGTAATGATAGTCTTCTTCTTTTTCAGTATTCCGAGCCCTTGAGGTTTATTGCTGCAGATATCACCCGCCTCCATTCATATATCTGGTTCCCCTTCACTTTCCAGTTGGTAACACCATGTGTTTGCAGGTCTGTCTGGATATTACCTCTCCATCGTCTTCTTGGTCTGCCTCGTGGTCTACAATTATTCATCTCCCTGGTGTATACAGTTTTTACTTCTCTGTGATAGCCCTCGCTTATCAATAATCATTAATAACTGCGTGGGTGTGTTACAGTAGAATTTCAGGAAAATGTCGGGGTGAGAAGAAGGTTACAGAATATATGACAGACATTTGTTCTGATGGATAGGCAAGATGATAACACACAGGCTAATAAATGAGTCTTGGCAGACCGGCGTTGAAAGGTAAGCGACATGGTCTTTGTAGACACCGTCTGAGACAAAGCGACGTGATAAGCCCCTACCAAACAATCTTTAAGACAGTTGGGTAATGGCAGGTAAGGCAAATACCTTTTGAGACAAGCTGACTGCATCAGAAGCGTCCCCTAACTGTCGATATAGGCGGTCTACATGAGTTTTGGCGGACCATCCATTTGGAGACAGACGGGCAATGTGAGTCTTGGCCCTGTCGAGACGTCAGATTAGTCGTGATACACATCCATCTAGAAAGATCCGTCTAGACAGACAGGTGGGCAACATGTCTGGACCCTGCCGTTACGGGTGGACCATAGCAGTCTTAATAAACACCCGTCAAGACAGATAGGCGAGCAACGTGAGTCTTGGACCTGTCGAGACCGGTGGACCACAGCTAAAAAAAAACCGTCTAGACAGGCGGGCACCTTGAGTCTTGACCCTCTCGAAACATTTGGACCATACGAGATTTGGTAAACACTCGACACGAACAAACTATTTGTTTGTGTGTCGACTAGAATAAGGCGAGCAACAGCTGCTTGGTCTCGAGGCATGGTGTCCGCCTCGAGCGCTAGAGGTCCCGGGTTAAATCCCTGGTAAAGGCTGGGATTTATTCACGTGGGCTTGGACTTCTAGCAATTCCCCGTGGTCTCTGGGTAGTGTGCTCTGTTGCCCACGAAAAAAAAGGCATTAGCAGTTACAAATCTAAAAGATTAGCCTGACGGCGCCGCCTGGGCATAATTTGCAGTTAAAAATCGACCTAAAAGTATTTCAGGATCCTCGCCGGTGCTACAGAGCCTGTACGCTGTGCTGAGCTTCTTTTGACTCGGACTTGAATTAGAAGAAGAACGGAACACTTATAGGTTACTACCCGTGTGCAATGATGTTGATCAGTCGGTCAAGACCTCAAGGGTATAGACAGGAAGGCCAGCTGCCAAAAGCGGTTACCTTTTCGGACGTGACTGCTACAGTAGATCGTACATGATCTACAGACAGACAAGATTATGCAGCCACAGTATGTGTTTGTGATGATAGGACTCATGGGTAAAGCTCGGTGTTTTTTTGTGTGTCTACGTGAGCAGAGGATAATATTATATTCATAATGTGGATACGGAATGACGACTACGTGGGCGAGCGACCATCCTCCTTACACAATAAAATCCACCCTGCAGAATCAACCAGTGGTACACATTCATTAGTTTTTCTCTTCATTTTTCGCATTTGATTTCGATGAAGTGTCTGTTCTCGGGAAACTAGCACTTAAAAGAGAAGTTATCTCCTTATCTTTTATAGGGTATTGTAGATTAAGCTACATCATTTATTTGCTTTTTCTGATTTTCACAGGCAGTTATAGGTTTAGTAGTTTGCCATTGCTCCTTAACGGTCATCACTGCAAACCATTGTCAAAATCTACGCAATGCGAGCTCTTACCACATCGTCAGCAGTTGGAACAGAACTGAGTATTTCGGGATCTAAATGTCTACGCCATAAAATAGCCTTAGCTTGGGTAATAAGTGAAGAACACGTTTCACGCTGTGACTGTGAGGAAGTGACAAGTTGAAAGTTGGGCAGGCATTTAAACAAGCAGATAATCAGTCATGTAGACAGTAAAACAGAGAGACTAGCAAATAGGTAGGCAGACAAACAGGTAGGTAGTACGTGGACAGGCATTCATGCAGGCAAACAGACAGGCTCATACAACGGAGTACAGTTAATACATAACCAGATTTGAAGTGTATTAGGAGCTTTACTTGACAGGGCTGTATTAACCCAGCCTCACACCCCCTCCCCCACTCGACGACTCGATCAACTGGTACCGATAAATAAGCATCCTTTTTTATTCCACGGCATTGGGAGGTCTTTACCGAGTCTCCTTTGCCTCGTGTGTTTGAGTGCTAAGTTTGTCACAGCCGACACCATTTCCATCCATGTCTAAATAAACGGCTAAAACTGTGAGAGATTGCTTTCTGGGCATTTCACAACTGTTCTATTTTGGCGTTAGAGCCATATAAGGTCACACATTGACAGAGTAGCTCTTAAAATACTGGTAGCCATAATTTAGAAAAAAAAAATTAGGGTGGTGTGGGGTTGTTCGAAAATATTTTACCGCTAAAATTTGTTAACACTTTGTCTAATGTTTAACTCTATCGGTACCATTAATTACTACGTTAACTTTTTAAATACCCGTTAGTTGAGCTTACAATCTATGAATACATAAGATCAATGGCGTTAGAAAGAGTCACACTGTGAAAAGTTTAGAGTGAGTAAGAACTACGGCTACACGTCATTAGGGGAAAACAAATCTGAAAATTGCATACAATTAGTGACTTTCTAAAACGTTTACCGATTAGGTAATTCGTATTGGATTTGTCTACTGTTTTGTGAAGAATTATGTGCAATAAAATACAGAGGGACTGAAGAAATGAATGGAAAGAACGTTGCCGAAATAAAATAAAAATTATAAAAAATAAAAACACAAAGTAAGTGAAATATTTCAGCCATATTAGGAGACATAACATTCTTATAAAATGCATACGAGAAGGAAAAGTTAAAGGCAAGAGAGAAAGAGGCGGAGAGTGATACAACTGGGAGATAGCATCGCGAGATGAACGAACAGTAGTGTGGAAGGGCGAAGCCAGATACTATCAAGACACCTTGCGAACAAGTGAACAGTATGGAAAAACAATCGGAACATCACAGTTTGAAAAGAATGGTGCCGCGAAGAGTGATTAGGAGATCTGACCGAAACGTAGCACTCAAAGGAAAATCAGGACAGACGTCGTACCATCAAACTGCTTCTGGTACCATTGGACTTGGAACTCTGTGCTGACTACTGAAGATGTGAGACGGAACTCTGATAGTAGGTAGTAACTAAGTTGTATCCCCATGCTTGTCTGCCACCAGACTGAGATTCGGTTGTTTCCTGAAGGTAGCAGTCTGGATGGCAAAACAGTCAGTCAGTCAGTCAGTCGGTCAGTCAGTCATTAAGTCAGTCAGTCGGTCAGTCATTCAGTCAATCATCTGAGACCCTTCCAAGTTTGTAGATAAAAAAAAAAAAAAAAAAAAAAAAAAAAAAGATCTACCACATTCAACCAGCAATCTCCGAAAAAGGAGCGTTGGGCTGTATTGTGGTCTGTGTTTATTTGAGCCACATGCATGGCTTAAAATGTCTCGCCCCATGTAGCTCCCCAAAATGACTTTGCAGTGTTGATGCAATGATCAAACCTAACCACATTCCCTAGCCGTGCCCGAGTCGCTTATTGGAGGACCAATAAACGACTCAGTCGTGGATGCGATTTATGACCGAGACAGTGTGGCTATTCACATGACGCGCAATATATACATAACAGAACACAGCGTGACTCCCCTGTAACTTAGTCTAGCGAGTGTGAAAGGTTAGCAAGCATGAATTAACGGCCAATCGCGATGCGTAAGGGCCGGAAAACATAACTTGAACCGTACATTGAATTAAATTTTGACTCCCTGTAGCAGGTATTTGCGAAATGGCCAAGCTGTTTGCCTTGCGTTCTTTTTGTGTCTAGGCCTCGTTTCAATGACTGTGTCATTCAATTCATGAATGCACTTCCTACGGGCATACCAGAAGATCGTAATATGATCTAATGAAATCGTGCTTCATCCGACCTTCTTGACAAGCCGTTTTTCGGAGAGAGATCATATGAGATAAAAACCTGATGCTGTAAAGCCGATCCTCTTGATCTTGACACTATAAACTTCTCTTTTGTTTTAGATTCCAAGGAGGCTCGTTTATGTGTGTTGTGGTCAAGTATCTGCAAGTGGTGGCCATGTATGCGTCCTCCTATGTGCTGTTGGCCACTGCAGTGGACAGGCAAGTATATCTTGTGTACAATTCTAGTCAAATAGCAGATACGTACATCTACTGTTAAATGCCAGGTACACACATCTAATCTCAAATGCTGGTTACATATTACCTATAGAATGCCCGATAAACATACATGTATATCCTGTCAAATACCAGATACAGATTTCTTCTGTCAAATACCAGATATAGATATCACCTGCCAAATACCAGCTTCACACATCAGATATTATCCATTCGATTTGTTTGCATGGCCTCCACCTTGGCGACTGTGTGATTCAGGGGTCAGTTTTGGTGGACAACCAAGCAATTTCGGAGGGTCTTTGTATGTCCACAGTCTGGAGAACACAAAGTTAGAGCTTTTGAAAATAAACACAACACGGAAAGGGGCAAAATGTTGATAAATATTAGAATACACCAATGATCTAAAGAATGGAAGGAAGAAAACGTTGAGTGAGAGTGCAAAGTAAAGAGCACTTGTCACATCTCCTTGGTACATCCCTCGTCCGGGGCGAGGTTCATGCTTTCATGGACTTATCACCCGTCGAATGATGTGAGCAAGCCCGTTTCGTTGTATCTTTGTCCAGTTTGATGCTTTTTTTCAACCCTTTTCCTCCCCACCCGTTTTTAGGACTGCAGTCTGTAGTCTTTATTAGTAACCACGGAAATGAGATGTCTGAGAAGGGCTGTAGGAGTGACCATAAGAGATAAGATCAGGAATGAGATCATAAGAGAACAAGTCGGCACAGAACCAATTCTGGATTACATACAAAGACAGCAAGTGAAATGGTTTGCCCACTTAGAGAGAATGCCTTGTGACACCATACCATACAAAGCATACATGGAAAGAGAAGAAGGACGTAGAGCACGGGGTAGACCAAGAACAAAATGGAAGGATAACATCAGAGAATTTCTACAACAGCACGATGTGCCTATGGTCGAGGAAGCCAGAAGAGCTAGACACAGAACCTTATATCTCCCTCGACACCCACAGCGGTAAACGAGGAAGTGAAGAAGAATAAGAAGTCTGTAGGATTAACATCTCAAATATTAAAACAATTACCACTTCTGTCGCTAAGCGCCGTAGGGAGGAAAATTTGCGATCAACTGCACATTGGCTGCCACTGGCTATTGTTCTGTCGTGAAGGCATAGAGTGTTTTAATGATCTCGATTCATTGCTGGCGGCGGTCCTCTTCTATCTTGTCCTCTTGATCTTAAAATCAAACAGGTACACATCCCGGAAATTCCGTTCGTTTTTTTTTTTTTTTAAAGTATCCAGAAACCATGAGTTGTAAACCCTTCGGCTCGGTACTATGGATATCGCAACCCTTCGGCCATGATTCTATGATAGATACCGTAAATCTGGGATACATGTGGCTTTTCTGCCTACCCTCGGGCGTGAACCTGACTACGAGGAGTTCATTACCCGTTCGCCGCGCAGAGGATTTTAACCAACTGCGCTAGGAAGCCGGGCGTTCAACGATATAGCCACATTTGTTAGTTGTGTGTATTTTACAGGACGCTGCAGAAACAACTTGAGAATAATTTGGCTTTTTATCATTTTACTAGCCCTATACTAGAAAAATTGCGATCGAAACCCACTGCTGGCTGCGTGGATTTTTATCATGGCATGGGGCGTCGCAGGTCGACCCGGCCTTACAAGGGTACCAGGATGTATGTCCTGGGGAAGTTGAGACGGCCAGCGTAATGCTGACCACATTACCCACCTAGTGCCAATTGGTGTGTAAAATTATAGGGTGCTCGTCCCATATGCCCGATGCACGAAAAGGCGTGAGAATGAATCTTTACTTACTTCACTATACTATGAAGGCTGTGGGTTCGGTTCCTGATGGAGTCGGACTTTGTTTTCAAGAATAATCTTGACTGCCAGGTCGACCCAGCCTTAAATGAATATTAATTATAGTCCTAGAACATAAAGATGACCAATAGAATGCTGACCCTGTGACCAACTGAGTGTCGATTGGTCTATGAAATATAGATCTAGCCAGGAGGCGGGAAAGATGCTACTTTAGGTATGTTTGGGAACCACGAATCGGTTACCAAGTAACCTGTAGCTTGGGCTGGCTAGGTTTTGACACGTGATGTAGACTAAAATCCAAAACCTTCAGATTAACAGAAAAGCGTGTAGCCACTGCGCTGCGATTGTTTTCCGTGTTTTGTTTGTGCACCAGACAAAAGACTGAAAAAGTTAGTCGTGTATCCTTCACAGGACATTGCAGAACCAACCCCTGCATTTTTTCCGGCTGTTGTGGTTTTTCTAGGCAAATTTACGACTAGAAGTTTGCCATTGCTTTCTAGACGGTCGGTTTCTCTATACCACTGTCGCAACCAATGCAAGACGCAGGGCCTGCAGTTGGGATTGAACCCGGTACTACGAAGCGCGTTCCCAAAGCCTAAGCCACAGACGCCGACAGACAAAAGACTAAGGATAGACAGAATCAATATGCGGGACAGAAAATTTAATTAGCGTTCACGGCAATTCAAATACTATAAGAAGCTGTAAACGCTGACAAAGAAAGCAGTAAGGATCTGGAGAATTGACCATAAGAAAGATGGAACTTTGACTTATCTCTTTGACGGATGGAGTTTAGATATAAAGGTTAATTGGAAGTGTTGTAAACTAGTTTCTTTGTAGTCGTTTCATGTATTTCTTTACTATAAAATCCAAGATCGAACACAGCTTTCCCAAGAAATTTCGAAGATAAGGAAGATCGAAGAGTAAAAGACGAACAGCTGACGGAACGCTAGGCTTTTACGCTGGAGACGCCGGATCGAATCCACGGAAAAGTTGTGGATCCTTTTTTTTTCTTTCTTTTTTGTAGGGGACAAAATGTTTCATTTTGAATTAAGACCTGACATCACAGAACTCTGGATATTTCCGTAAGCGCTCCGTCCCCATCTTCAGCAACAATCGAAGTTTAAATTCCGATGTCACCAGTAACTGTCTGATTGTACATCCGTCTCGCCTATCCCTTAAGTGTTCAGCGTCGCCCAGATCGCCTGCTAACTCCATGCAGCGCAATTCTACTCAGACCGTAAAGATCGATTTGTCCCTCCGCACTGTTTACTTGCTCCCAACGGACCCTCGCAATATCTAGCTCATCATACATCAATATTCACCATAAAGTGATGCAGATCCGACCAGTCTATCTGCCTGTTCGTATTACAACACACCAGCTTGACCTGGAGAAAATACCCAAAGGAAGCAAACTACCCGGGACCTTTCAAGCTATGCAAAGTCATTTAAAAAGGACCCGAACTCAGGACCTTCCAATCCGTAGGTGAGCGATAGGTCAGTTTTAGTCAATATTTATTGCATTATGATACAAACAATTCTGCATAGACCATGTTGAATTTAAACTACCTGCGACTGGACGAGTTGAGAAAGAGAGAGAGAGAGAGAGAGAGAGAGAGAGAGAGAGAGAGAGAGAGAGAGAGAGAGAGAGGAGAGAGAGAGGGAGAGGGGGGGGAGAGACTATATATATATCTTCTACGAGGTACGAATATATGCCCACTGTACCGAAAGGTGAGAATGCTAGTCACTGAGCTGCAGCATTTTCTGACAGAAACAGATTAGATATACAATAACTATTCAACGGGGATTTGATCTGATAACAACCACCATGACACTCACAGGAGGTAGCCACTGCACTACAAAGCAGGGACAGAGACCATAAATATTCGACACGGATTCGAATTTGTGACTACCAGGTTGACAGGAAAGCGTCCTAGAAGAAACAAAAGAAACACACACACACACACACACACACACGCACGCACGCACGCACGCACGCACGCACGCACGCACGCACACACACATACACACACACACACACACAATTCAGAGATTGGGAAAAAAGTATTTTAGTGTTAATTATATTTCATTCAAGTGCTCCGTGGAGAGAACTAGAGATGCAATGATTGGAGAAACGGAGTGTCTGTGTGTGGTATTGATTCATCAGACTCCGGAGGCAAGATCTGGCTGCAAGGCAATTACTCCTTTCACTAGATGACAACTATTTCTAGCCAGGCATCATTGTGGCTTCCTCCGGGGTCTTAAAAACAATCGAATTCAGAGGTTCTGAAGAGACTGAAATAAGAATTAAAAACTATTAAAGAAAAAAAGAGGCAAATTAAATTTTACTGTGACATTAAAATACATAGCAATCTTACAAAAATAATAGTGGCGAGAGATATCAATGGCAAGCGAGAAAGTCAGAAGATAGTAATAAAACTGGATTTATGAAATTAATAAATATATAGAAAGAGCAACACCAGTCTTAGAATGAAACAAGAGAGCCGAGACACATAGATTGTTGCTAACATTTATTCTGAAGAAGATACGCCATTGATTAATTACAATGAATATACATTTTAAAATAATAGTGATCAATATATCTGTGAATCCTGGACAATAGGTAGGCAGGCCAAACAATTTCTAGAGGCTTCAAAGATGTGGTTTTACAGAAGAATGCTTAGAATACCTTGGACATCCAAAAAGAGCAACCAAGAGGTTTTGAAAGAGGCGAGAGCCCGAAGACAACTTTTCACAGACATCAGAAGGAGACAGTCATCATTTTTCGGCCATGTTATGAGAAGAGGGAAAATAGAACATGTTGTGACCACTGGAAAGATCTGTGGAAGGAGGGATAGAGGAAGACAACGAGAGAAGATGCTTGACAGTCTTGTTGCATGGCATAGAGGTGTAGCGGCACACGAACTGATACATGCTGCAGGAGATCGCAGATTATGGAAAGGCATGATCGCCCACTCCAGTCGGCAAGGCACCTGATGATGATGATAATGATGATCAATTTAGGATTCATATTTCTACACTACAGTGATATTATCTTCATTATACACTCTATCCTCTTTTTTGCTTCACCGAGAACCTCTTATAAACAATGCAGTGTAGTGTAAGTAATCATTCCTGCCCTCAGGATTATGCCTCCATAATTGTCAATAATTTCTGATACAGTGTCTTCTCTCTCAGCCTTCTCATTGTTTACCTGCTGTAAATTTTGGCAGAAAAATCTGATTGTTCGTCCACTTCAGGACTTTGGTCTTGTCCAGAACTGCTATTGTCACGTTCACATCCGTTTTACAGATCTGGCTTATTTGTATGCAAAATGTTGGTTCTTTGTCTCGCTGGCAAAGGCACTACGACTTCGAAAAAAACATTCACAATTAGTCGTCATTTGCGACATGTTTATTTTCTCCGGAAAGTACAATATTATAGGGATGTTAAGGTTTGAAGACAACAGTTGAAATGGTTTGCCCACTTAGAGAGAATGGCTTGTGACACCATACCATACAAAGCATACATGGAAAGAGAAGAAGGACGTAGAGCACGGGGTAGACCAAAAACAAGATGAAAGGATAACATCAGAGAAACTCTACAACAGCACGATGTGCCTATGGTCGAGGCGGCCAGAAGAGCTAGAGACAGAACCTTATATCTCCCTCGACACCCACAGCGGTAAAAGAGTAAGTGAAGAAGAAGAAGAAGGTTTGAAGTGAGCACCAACTAACCCTAACACCTCATTAAAAGTGGTCTTCACGGGAGCTCCAGGTTCCCCCGTGTCTGGGGAGAGAGGGGAGGGGGAGTGGGGATGAAAAACCAAACATTCCCGCATCACCTGAGGATTCTTCTTTGCGTTCACCAGCTGTAAACTCTGGCAGAAAGCTCTGGTTGTTCATCCACTTCTGGACGGCAGTCCTGTATCAGACCCTGAATGTTGAGTGTGTATCCGTTTTATAGATTTGACTCATTTGTATTCAGACTGCTGGTTTTCTTGCCTTCTCAGGCAGATGCACTCTGACTTCGAAGGAAGCTCCCAATCAGTCTACTCTTACGACATCTTTTGGGTAGGCAGTGGGTCTATTCTTGTTTTCCATATAATAGGGCCCCGGAACCCACACGGGGTGACTAAGGATTAAACCTATGCCATGATATTGCAGACAGTCTCATAAACCAGTTGGCCATACCAGCATTCATATGTAATTCAAGCAATATTCTGCTAGTTTTCTTTGAATACCTTATTCCACAATGCTGATTTTAGATATGTGACTTTTGATCATATTATACTGTACTGTGTAAAAAAAAACACAATGTGTACACATAAATGATATTCAATAAAAAAAAATATAAATATTTATGTGTATATATATACACACACACCAGTCTTTTCCTTATCAAACTCTACGAGTATGTGCTTCTGTAGGTATTACGCCATCTGCCGTCCATTCCTGAGCCAAAGCTGGACGGCCAAACAAGCTCACATTCTGGTCATCATTGCATGGGCGGCCTCGCTGCTGTTCAGCCTCCCACAGATGTTTATATTTTCCTACCAAGAGGTAAGTCAATTAAAGTGACCCTTTTCACGTGTCAACTCTTTCAGTTTAAAAATGCTTACTTTAACCCACCCCACCCCCTCTCTATTCCAGTGAACTGAGGTTAGTAGGTCTGAAAAAGGTAGCAGAGGCACCTAGTAGAAAAAGTAGTTCCACACTAAAGGGTTTCCGTGGTTAAGTAGTCAAGTCGTTCGCCTTGTAATTTGAAGGTCTGTGAGTTCGTTTCAAAACTGGGTCCTTCGCCTCATGAGTGCAGTTTGTATTGTTTGGGATCTTTCGTTGAAGTCGGAGTGCATCTGCTGTGGCAAGGAACAACCACCTGCACACAAATAAGCCAGTAAAAGGAATGCATACACAAAATGCAGGCCCTGGTACAAAGCCAAAATCCAGATGGACGAACAACCAGGATTTTCTGCAGGAGCTTACAGCGGGTGAACAAAGAAGAAGAGGAAGAAATGGTACATATCACCCCCCCCCCCCTTCCTTTTTGTTTTCCCTATCCCAATACCATTATTCTCCCATGTCAACCCCTTATATTTCAATTGTCACTATAATACCAATTGGCCCAAAGCTGTATATTCCAGCGTCAGTATTTACTAGTGGGTCCGAGGAAGGTGACAGAGGCACCAGGGAGACAACAGTAGTTCCACACTGAAGGGTTTCCGTGGTAAAGTGGTCGAGCCTTTTGCCTTGTAAATTATTCTATCCTTACGTCTTTGTAAGGACGTAATTTTCTGTTATTTGAAGCCCCACTCTGGCTTTTGCCAGGGGCCGCAATATAGGCAGGCCATACAATATGGCCAATTGTCTGAACGCGGTTTCTGGGACCTCTCCACGGCGATCCGCATGGTGGCACTTTGTGTCATCGGGTGTTTATCGCTTGTGTGTTGTCCTAGTAGGGTAGAAAGTCAGTCAGTCAGTCAGCCTTGTGAATTGAAGGTCGTGGGTTCGTTTCACAACTGCGTCCTTTGATTCACGAGTGCAGTTTTTATTGGCATCGAAGGGGATTGTCGCAGGAGCTAGGCAGTCTGCAAAAGGGGGGGAGGGGGGGGGGGAGACAAATGGAATGAAACCCAAGCAATGAAGTCGATTATCTCGACTTAACCTTTAACCTTAAGTAATTAAACTGATAATTTAGATACAAGGGATAAACATAATTCTATCTGGGACAGACAATAGCAATGCTATTGCGTTACTGTGGAAACACCAAACATCCCCAGTGAGTTGTGTGTTGTAGTGTATTGGGTAAGTCCATATTTTATAGACCAGAAACCTTAATTAGGAATTATCGTTACACACGTTCCTGTTTCATTTGTGATTGTGGTGATTGTGTACAATGGCGAACCTAGACCGCCACAGTTTATCGGCAAGGAACATGATGATGGTACATAAATGATACCTGATAGCAGATTGCTTTGTGTTGATTTTGTCGATGAGTGCTACCGACTTTCAGTAATTCCTTACCTTACTAAGGATTTGACCCTGAGTATCCCGTATGAGATCCCAGCGTTTTTAATCGCTCGGCCAGTCGTTTTTCATTTAGTTAGTTAGTCAGTCGACAGATTGTCTTCATTGTACATCAAACCATTCAGCCAATAATTGTTCAGATTCCCTCTTCGGTAAATCCCGCAGCGTGTAGTGGCTGATGACACCAGTCCTGTGTTAGTTTCTTATTTTTCTTTGGCTTCTTGCTGTTGTCAGGCCGTACCCTTTTTAACATGCTGTTCTTGCAGGCTGGTCACGGTTGCACATTTACCTATATAACTTGGTTCTCACCACGGCCAGCTCCAGCTACTAGAGAAGGCAGTGATTCTCACAAACGTCTTACTACGTTCACATCACGATTAGCGGGAAAAACTGTCAAGGAAGCTAATGCCGCCTTTTCCACGACAACCAGTTGCATTACAATTGAGGTGATGGTAGTACGCAAGCGTTCGCGTGGCTCGAAACACAAAACTATACCCGGGCATGTGTACTCAGTGATTCAATGAGCATGATCCAGAGGGTTCAGGCAGGTTCGGTGGGAAGGCAATGGCTTGAATCCTTGCAGAAGTCCGCTGTGCATGGAGTAACCTTCATTTTGGTTCTGGGATACTCGGGCGTCGGTGGAAAAGAAACAGCTGATAGGTTGGCTGGATCGGCTATCACTACCAACCGTCAACCTATGGATCATGCTGATATTATTAATGCCCTCCGAGAAACGAGAAGAGCGGAGGACTTTCGGGGGCAGTGAATCCACATCATTCGCCAGAATGATTTTGGAGTTGAGATCGAGTTAAAACAAAACGCACACCAAGCACATCAAAAGACTTGTTAATCAACATAGAACTCGTACTACTAGCTACCAGACGCTAGGGTTCATACTGAGATGGTGGGGGGGGGGGGTGAATATAAGCACCTATGGAAATCCGGAGTGCAGTGATGAGAATCCAGCTAACTAACTAACTAACTAACTAACTAACTAACTAACTAACTAACTAACTAACTAACTAACTAACTAACTAACTAACTAACTAACTAACTAACTAACTAACTAACTAACTAACTAACTAACTAACTAACTAACTAACTAACTAACTAACTAACTAACTAACTAACTAACTAGCTAACTAAGACACTCACTACAAATGTCTTACTTCTGTTAGAGCATTCAGTATACCAACATTGCCCATAGCATGTCCGCCCACCACGGTAGCTTTGCCTGCAAACCTATCAGCTTGCTCATTTCCTTATACGCCTGTATAACCTGGCACAAATATGGCATTAATATGTGTCAGCCTGGACCGCCTCAGAGACTCCAACCACTTTCTTAGGGCCAGGACATCTTTATTTTTGCAAGAATACTCATTGAGTCACAGAGAAAGCAAACGCGCGTAAAAATGTACGTCTCCGACCATGTTACTGATTTAATCGCTGCCATGACCTCCATAGTGAGACTACTTGTAGTCAACGCTAAAGCCCCAGAGTCTTGCTTCACAAGTCTAACTCCAACATGAGCGTAAAAGCCAACGAGCTTCTCATTTTCAAATAATAAAACCTTATATACTGGGATTAGTAGAACTATGTCTCTATAAAAGGTATTACAGATTTATGAACATGTAATGAGTGAGTGAGTTCAACCTCACCAAGACAGCACACGAGCGACCAATACCTGGTGTCACCATTCGAATGAGAATCACTTGGGCACAGGTCCCAGATGCCGTTTCAACCGTTACGTTAAAGTAGAGCTCTCAACAACAGCAAGAAGGACTTTATAATAAAAAAACAAATGCGCCTTATATTGAGGCGGAACATACAAACATGTATTCAAGGATGGAAAACTATCAAGTATCTTCTTTCTTAGTCTCCTTCTGCCTCTCGTCCTCTTCAACTTTCGCGTGAATCGATATATTTCCAGCTTTCTTTGGTGACGCCTGGATGTTAGATGGTGTTGATGATGTTACTAGTTACAGCTAATTCTCCCCGTCTAAGTCGACCCTTCTAGTAAATACCGTAAATCTGGGAGAAAATGTGGCTTTTCTGCCTACCCCCGGGCGTGAACCCGGACCACAAGGAATTCGTCACCCGGTCACCGCGCAATCCGGTTTAGCCAACTACGCTAGAGAGCCGGGCTTCGTATTCCTTATACGGCTCGTTTATCGGATTTTCCCCAGGCTTGATCCCCAGTAACTGACACTTTGTGATCCCTGGTTGTTGACCCGTTTTAGCCTTTGAGAAACAACATTCCATGGGAGGAACAGAAAAAAGACAATGATTCTGCTGTATTTGTTGTTACTCAAGTGTCTTCTTAGTTTCATCCCCAGCTGGTAATTAGCACATGTATTGCTCAAATATCTGTGTTTTTTTCCTGGATTTGTTTTTCTGTTTAATGTTCTGTTACACTGGCAGTCTCCCTTGCCAACGTTCATTTTTCTTAAGTTAGTTGCTGAGGTCCTTGCCCGCATAGGACTTCTGGTTGCATCTGGCTGGGGCAGCCGTTACGGGTGCCCTATTCATAACTTATCTGTCCCACATTTTAAAAGCTGGTTTAACGTAGCATTTAAAAAAGTTAAGAATGATGTTTCTACGTAGAAGTACAGTAAAGCATAGTGAAGTAAACCAGAGGGTACTTTCCATGCCTTTCGGCATACTAGGCAGATAGGCCTGAACCTATATTTGATAGACCAATCGGTACTTGGTTGTCGATGTGGTCAACATCCGACCGGCCGCCTTTACTTACCTCAACTTTACCTGACACCCATTTAGGGCTGGCTCGAACTGTAAGCAAAGATAAGCCAGGAGTTTAACCTACGGCCTTTGGGTCCATAGGCGAGAGTCTAGCCGCTTCGCCACGTCTCCCACTTTTATTAACCATTTATATAGACAGAATATCTAAAGAAGTAGGTTCCGAAACAGACAACATAAATCTTTATAATCATGAGGAAGTACACATATTAGAAGAATTAAATGATTCACCCATATTAAACGAACTACTATTTGTTGACGACCAGTGCTTGTTCTACCATGAAGAAGATAGATTGTAACCCACATAAACAGGCTAAAGTCATCATGCGGTAAATACAACATCAAGATCAATGCAAACAAAAACGAAACAATGCAAGTTAGTAGAACCCCTGGCCAACTACACATACAGTTGAATGGTTCTGCCCTGAATCAAGTTAGGGAGTTTAAATATCTAGGAAGTATGATCACAGAAGGTAGAATTGACAGAGAAATAGAAACCAGATGTCAGAAAGCAGGTGCACTTTTATACTAATTGTCACCATTATTAAGACATCCAAGCATACCTAGGGGGCAGATTATTAACAACATATTCATTCCAGTATTAAACTACCAGTGCCCAACATGGACACTATCTAAAGCCCATATACGAAAAATTACCACCTGCGAGATGAGAGCAGCCAGCTTAACCATCCGAGATCGAGTGAGTAATGATATGTTCAGACAAATTGTTGGAACAACACCTTGCACTAGATTCATTGAGAAACAGCAGATCAAGTGGTTTGGCCATCTCGTTAGAATGCAGCAAGATCAGATACAATCACAAGCACTACATCCCAGAGGATCAGCCACAAGAGCAAGAGGACGGCCGCGGAAAAAATAGATCGACAACATGAAAGACACTCTACCCCTTCACGGCATGACAATAGCCAGTTGCAGCCAGCGTGCACTGGATCGCAAATTAATCCTCCCTACTCCGCTTAACAAACTACTGGACATAAATTGCCTAGAAAAACCACACAACAGCCAGGGACTGTTGGGGTTGGTTCTGCAACGTCCTGTAAAGGATACGCAACTAAATAACTAACTGCGCTTAACAGCAGAAGTGGTTTATGATGATGATGATGATGATTAGATGATAATTAGAGCAGGGAGGATGAACATGATGATTATGACGATGATGATGATGACGATGAAGTAGATTATGATTTCTCGTAAGAGATTTTGTTTGATGTACGCGAGTTCCTGTCTGCACTTCTTTCATCTGTTATTATATCCGATTCCCCGCCGGCCCTAGACAAAACAAAACAAAGACATCACTGCAACCAATGTAGCATTTCAAAAGAAGTATATTGTCTGATAATGTATAGCAAATTCGCCTGCAGGCTGCGCCCAAACAGAATCCGACACGACGTGGTGTTGTCATGGTGACAGATAATACGGGTTCATCCCAACTTGGCAACTCATTGTCAGATGCAAAATGGAGCTTTTAGTTTCATGTTTCTTTATCATCATCAAGTGCCTTGGCGTGTGTGTGGCATCAGTGCTTCTGTTTCTCCATAATTCTTGATCTTCGACTGTGTGTATCAGTTGGTATATTTATACAATGCTATGTCAGGAAAAAAAAAAATTATGCCAAAACTCTCCTTCTCTTTCTCAAAGTGGAAAAAGACACCAAAGCTGAATAGAAGGGGCGTTGAGAAAACCTGACAGCAGTACACATAAAAATGTCCTTTTTCGGAAGAAAAACAAAACAAAAACAGGGCAGACCGAAAAGAAAATTAGAGACAATAGGAGTTAAAAATAAAGAGAGGAGGGCATGGTCGAAACCCTTATATTTTTCACTGAGCAATAAATGAGGAAGAAGAAAAAGAAGAAGAAGAAGAAGAAGAAGAAGAAGAACAAGAACAAGAACAAGAAGAAGAACAAGAACAAGAAGAAGAAGAACGAGAAGAAGAAGAACAAGAACAAGGAGAACAAGAACAAGAAGAAGAACAAGAACAAGAAGAACAAGAACAAGAAGAAGAAGAACAAGAAGAAGAAGTGACAGTTTACCACTGCCTTACGCGTTGTAAGAGACATGTTTGTTTTGTTTGTTTGTTTTAGTATACAGAAGCCATGAGTTGTTAACCCTTAGGCTCGGTATTATGGATATCGCAACCTTTCGGCCTTGATTCCATTGCAAATACCGTAAATCTGGGAGAAATGTGGCTTTTCTGCCTACCCCCGGGAGTTAACCCGGACCACAAGGAGTTCGTCACCCGCTCACCGCGCAATCCAGTTTAGCCAACTACGCTAGAGAGACGGGCTTATAAGAGACATAAACGCATCTTTGTCGTGGGAAAATCCTTTGTTTCTTTCACAGCTGAAAGTACTGACCAATCTTATACACCCAACGCTACAGCTGTGCAAGTTGTAATTTCTTATATTGTTTTTTAAGTTTTGGAACACTTCATTACATCTGGTTGTTCTCTTGATAATACATGTCATACCAACCACCCCAACGTTACACTGAAGCCGGTATGTAACTCACTACAAGGCAAAACAAATGGCTCAGATTGTCTGATGGCTTGAGGAGGGAAAAGCAGACGGCATAGTTGAAAAAGACTATCTATGTTGAATGTTGAATTGAGAATCGACATTACAGCACTCGGGACCTCCCATAAGCGCACCGTTCCCATCTTCAGCAGCAGGCGAAGAGTTACAATTCCGATGGTACCAGCGAATGTCTGATAATATATCTGTCTCGCCTTTTCTCTGAGTGTCAAGCACCGGTCCGATCCCCTTGTAACTCCTCGCAGTGACATTCTCCTTAGATCGTAATTAAGACAGTCTTATTATAGGTAACACACGGGTGTCTTTATTCTTTTTTGGTGTTAACTTATGTGGTTAGCCTTTTTTGCATTTCTTCACTGTTTCTGTATATATTTTAGAATATTCTTCTTTATCATTCTATTTTGTCATTTGTGTTATGAGAAGAAGGAAACTGCTTCGACCACTGGAAAGATCTGTTCGAATCTTGTTGAATGTTGATTTAGGAATCGACATCACAGCACTTGGACCCTCCTATAAATGCTCAGTCCCCATCTTCAGCAGCAAGCGAAGAGTTCCAGTTCTGGTGATACCCGTATGATTGTATATCCGTCTCATCTTTCCCCTGAGTGTCGAGCGTCGGGTAGATCCAATGGTAACTTCTCGTAGCGCCGTTCTCCTCAGACCGAAATGATCTGTTGGAAAGGAGAGAGAGAAAAGACAACGTGCGTCTATTCTTAAAACCTGTTGTCATGGCGTAGAGATGTGTCAGCACGCGAACGTAATCAAGATTACAAAATGTAGAGAGGCATGTTAGCCTATGATAAATGCACAAGGGCTTTAAAATGATGATTAATTAATTAATCAACTTCGCCATTTTCAGTGAAAGTGAAAGTTATTGACTGATATTCAGATTTTCGCCTCTGTTGCACACCTCTGCACTCTAATACTTTATTCAAGTTCCTCTTCTTTCATGCTTTTATCAGTTATTGTTTGTTTTATTATTATATTTTATTATTATATATCCTTTATTCATACTTTAAACTGTGAAATTAATATTTTGATATTTGATAATTTTTTTTTTCTCGAATTAACTTCTAGAATTTAATACTGTAAACATTAGATCTCCCTTTTGCTTCTTTATATGAAGGTGGAACTAGGATCAGAGGTGTACGACTGCTGGGCCAGGTTCCACCCTGAGTGGACTTTACCGGCCTATATCACATGGATGACTGCTTCCATTTTCATTATACCCACCTGCCTTTTGGGTCTTCTGTATGGGCAGATCACCTGGGTCGTATGGAAGGCGGGAAGACTCGAGCAAAAGATGCTTCCAGCGTAAGTATGCTTTGTAATTCAACTTTTACTCTCATACATGTGAGAAGAAAAAAAAAGAAGGAGAAAAAAAAAAGCTAAAGAAGAAGAAAAAGAAGAAGAAGAAGAAAAGAAGAAGAAGAAAAAGAAGAAGAAGAAGAAGAAGAAGAAGAAGAAGAAGAAGAAGAAGAAGAAGAAGAAGAAGAAGAAGAAGAAGAAGAAGAAGAAGAAAAAGAAGAAGAAGAAGGAGATTAACAAGAACAACAAAAACAACAATAAGAACCAGAACATAAAAAGCAAAAAACAAAAACAGAGAAAAACAAGTAGAAAATGACATGTCAGTGCCCAGGTACACTTGGGAATATTTGGTTCTTCCATTAAAAAAAATCTGTTTTAAATGTCTTTTTTATTTTGTGAAGCAGTTTAAAGTTTTCCAAGCATTGGTGACATTCTAGACCTACACTGCAACAGGAGTTCCCAGTGGGAACTGACCTCACAGAAAAAGAAAGAAAGAAAGAAAGAAAGAAAGAAGAAGAAGAAGAAGACGAAGAAGAAGAAGAAGAAGAAGAAGAAGAAGAAGAAGAAGAAGAAGAAGAAGAAGAAGAAGAAGAAGAAGAAGCAGAAGCAGAAGGAGAAGAAACGTACTCACAAAACGACTGCTATACTAAGACTGAAAAATCGAGAAAGAAAATGCCATCATATCTGAAAATATTCACACCAATAATCACAAAAGCACAAAATTGACCACATAACCGCACTACATATCTAATTCTGGTTGCTCAAGCTTATCATTCTCAGTGCTGTACTTTCACTGCCCGCCGACGTTATTGTCGGAAAACGGCAATTCGCCGGGCGATGCTCGGATAAATAAATGCTTTTAAGGAGAACGAAGCTAATTCTCAGACCCAGCGATTACTGAATACAGTGCACTGCTCCTACTCGGTATCCGAATGAATGATACATGCGTGTATAGTGTGATATCCCTAGTGTTTGTTAACCTAGGGGTAAATGATCGGGCAACGCCCGGAGAGTACAACCTTCGGGACAGTAAACTCTTGAGGACAGAGTGACTGGTTTACGAGTGAAAGGTTCAATGATTTGTCTTGAGCATCATTTTGTCGCACTTTTAGCACCGGTTACCTTTCCCTCCTCTTCTTCTCTTATAGCAGCAGCGACTATTACTGGTACTACTACTTATACTACTACTATTACATTCTTCTTCTTCTTCTTCTTTTTCTTCTTCTTCTTCTTTTTTCTTCTTTTTCTTTTTCTTCTTCTTCTTCTTCTTCTTCTTCTTCTTCTTCTTCTTCTTCTTCTTCTTCTTCTTCTTCTTCTTCTTCTTCTTCTTCTTCTTCTTCTTCTTCTTCTTCTTCTTCTTCTTCTTCTTCTTCTTCTTCTTCTTCTTCTTCTTCTTCTTCTTCTTCTTCTTCTTCTTCTTCTTCTTCTTCTTCTTCTTCTTATTTTTCTTCTTCTTCTTCTTCTTCTTCTTCTTCTTCTTCTTCTTCTTCTTCTTCTTCTTCTTCTTCTTCTTCTTCTTCTTCTTCTTCTTCTTCTTCTTCTTCTTCTTCTGCTTCTTCTTCTTCTTTTTCTTTTTCTTTTTCTTCTTCTGCCTTTTCTGCTGCTGCTGCTCTACTACCACTACCACTACTCATCATCATCATCATCAGGAGCCTGCCAACTGGCGAAGGCGATCATGCCTTTCCACAATCTGCGATCTCCTGCAGCATGTTTCAGTTCGTTTGCCGACACACCTCCATGCCATGCAACAAGACTTTCAAGAATCTTCTCTCGTTGTCTTCCTCTATCCCTCCTTCCATAGATCTTTCCAGTGGTCACAACATTTTCTATTTTCCCTCTTCTCATAACGTTGCCGAAAAATGATGACTGTCTCCTTCTGATGTCTGTGATAAGTTGTCTTCGGGCTCCCGCCTCTTTCAAAACCTCTTGGTTGCTCTTTTTGGCTGTCCAGGGTATTCTAAGCATTCTTCTGTACAACCACATCTCTGAGGCCTCAAGAAATTGTTTGGCCTGTCTACCGATTGTCCAGGATTCACAGCCATATGTTAAAACTAGATGTATGTAGCAAGCAAGAATTCTTTTTCTAATTCTCAATGACAAAGATATATTGCACAAGATGTTCTTCATTTTAAAAACTGCAGTTTTTGCCTGTCCTATTCTGTTTCTTATCTCAGTTATGCATCTTAAATCTGATGTTATCCATGTACCCTGATACTTAAATTTATGTGTTTGTCCTAAAATAACACCATCGACTTTTATTACACATTTAGGAATAATTCGTTTCTTTGTTACCACCATTACATTTTTCTTTCCATTTTTCAAACTGAGGCACATTCTTCCACTTTCTAACACCACAATGTCTATAATTTCCTGTAGCTCTTTCTGACTTGTTGCAATTAAGACTGTGTCATCAGCATAACTTCAATTTGTTATATGGTGCTTACCAACCATAATTTCGGGAATATCAATTAAAGATCTCATTAAGTATTCACTGCATAGTGAAAACAAATCAGGTGACAGTACACATCCTTGTCGTATGCCCCTCTTTATGCTTTGAAATGTACCTAAATAGTTGTTAATTCTTATAGCTGCTGTTTGCTGCCACTACATATTATTTATTATTCCTAAATCTTTTACATCAATGTTTAATTTTTCAAACAGTTTGATTACTTCTTCATGCTTCACACAGTCAAATGCTTTTGTATAGTCTGTGAAGCGTAAGTACAAATCAGTCTTTACTTCTAAAGCTCTTTCTGACAATGTCCTTAGGATCTATATGGCATTGCTTGTACCTTTTCCTTCTATAAATCCACATTGATTATCGTTAATTTCTGGTTTAATTTTGTTTCTTATTCTTCTCCTAATTATTCTCAGTAAAATCTTAATCATGTGACTCATAAGACTTATTGTGAGATGGTCTTCACATTTTAAAGTGCCTGGTTTCTTTGGCAGAGCTATAAATATGGATTTTAAAAGGTCATTTGGAAAATACCCACTATTATAAATATTTTTTTAAAGTTTAGTTATTGTTTCAATTCCAAAATCCCCCAGTGCTTCGATTTCTTCCAGTGAGAGGCTGTCTGGCCCTAGTGCTTTTCCTTTCTTCATATGATGTATTGCATCCTCAACTTCTGCAGTCATTATTGGTGGACCATCTTTGTTGGTCTGCAGTTCTACATCTGGTCTATTATCATCATACAAATTGCCTATATACTCTGTCCCTCTGTTAATTATTTTACTATGTCCCATTAATAAGTCACCATATTTTGATTTTAAACATCCAGTGCTGTTACATGTCATCTTTCCTATTAACATATTTATCTGTTGGTACATGGAATGTGAGTCTTTCCTGTGATTTTCCCCAACCTCCGTACACATTTTATTCAGTCAGGTTTCTTTAGCCACTTTGCATTTGTTCACTATTTCTTTTTGTATTCTAGAGTATTCTTCTTCATAATTCTTTTTTCTTTCTTCTTTCATCCATTAACTGCAGAATTTCGGTTGACATCTATTTCTTTTTCGCATCTCTATTGGTTGGTGGGATTGTCTCTTTTGATGTGTGCCGAATTGACTAACGCAACATACCCCACTGTTCATCAATAGTCTGTATAATTTCCAATGCAATTATACCGGTTTTGTACAGTGACATTGTACTGTTCCCTAATTTCATTATTTGTTCCAAGAATTCCTAAATTATATTTGATGTTCTGTGGTGTTTTCTTAACATTCTTTAGTTTTACTCTAATTTTTTTCTAAAACTGGAACATGGTCACTAAAGCAGTCTGCCCCTGGTCTAGTCTTTGCTCCAACTAAGCTGTTCCGAAATCTTCTTCAAATCAAAATATAATCAGTCTGATTGCGGACATTATCGCCAGGACTTCTCTAAGTCCACAATCTTCGAGGATGGTGTTTAAAACATGTGATACCTATTTTCATGCTGTGGGACTCAGCCCATGCTATTTATCTGTCATCTCTCAAATTCTTTTCTCCTAGGCCATATCCACCAGTTATTCCCTTCACTTTTTCACTTCCTATTTTTGCGTTGAAATCTCCAAGTACCATTGTTACTTCACAATTTTTGCATTGATCAACAGCCCTGTCTAACTCGTCATAAATCTGTACTAAGTTGATGTCAAACGGTCTGGCTTGAAGTTTTACTAATAGTACTCTATCTGATATTGTCTAAAATTCTTTTACATTTTTGCGTTCTTTGGATCCATAATAATATCAACTCCCTTGCTATATTCCTTCCCAACTGAGTAAATAATTCTATGCTGATCTGAATACCTTTCCCCTGCTCCTGGCCATCGCATTTCACTAATTCCTAATATGTTAATGTTCATTCTCTTCATTTCCATCTACCCCTAACTACTACTACTACTTTTTCTTCTTGTTCTTCTGCTTTCTCTTTCTTTTCTTCTCCTCTTTATTTTTTTCTTGTAACATTTCCTCCTTATCTTTTGTCTTTTCATCAACACCCCCCCCCCCCCCCCCCCCCCATCCTAGTTCAAACTCAACAATAACAACAAAATAATACATACCACTACTCCTCTTGCTGCTAATACTGCCACCACCACTACCATCACTATTACTCAGTGTATTATAATGGCGGTACGTAACGGAGCGCAGTACCAGCACCCCTTTATGCATCTTTTTTTCAGTGGTAATGTAATAAGCCCATTGTAGTGAGTACCGGCAAATTTTTTGACTTATTGTGTCGAGTACCGTCACATGTTTTGTTTCCTATAAACCTAAGACAAGGCACTGCTCCTACCAAGGATTTATATGATATTTTTATGCCACTAAAGAGTAATATTCTAGTGCAAGTAAACCCAGAGGTTATGACCGGTCGCCGACCGGAGTCTACATCCGTCGAGGCAGCAAAATTCTGAGGCCAGTGTCAGTTGTTCTATGATTCGTCTTCAGTATTTTTGTTTTTGTTTTTTGTATCCAGAAGCCATGAGTTGTTAACCCTTAGGCTTGGTATTATTAATATCGTAACCCTTCGGCCTTGATTCCATGATAAATACCGTAAATCTGGGAGAAATGTGGTTTTTCTGCCTACCCCCGGGCGTGAACCCGGACCACAAGGAGTTCGTCACCCGCTCACCGCGCAATCCGGTTTAGCAAACTACGCTAGCGAGCCGGGCTTGTCTTCAGTATCATGTTAACGCACTTTCGTCATTAGGATACTTTTCCTCGCAATCTTATTCTTTAACTGCTACTATTGCTGCTGTGGCTACTGCTACTGCTGCCGCTACTACTACTACTACTACTGCTGCTGCTAATACTACTACTACTACTACTACTACTACTACTACTACTACTATTACTACTACTACTACTACTACTACTACTACTACTACTACTACTACTACTACTACTACTACTACTACTTCTACTACTGCTACTACTACTACTGTTACTATTATTGCTATGACTACTGCTACTAATGTTGTGCTTCTGCTAATACTACCACAACTAATACTACGGTTGCGTCTTCTTCTTTATTGTCTTCTTCTTTTTCTTCTGCCTTATCTTCTTTTTCTTTTTTCTTCTTTTTTCTTCTTTTTCTTCTTTTTCTTCTTCTTTGTTTTCTTCTTCTTCTTCTTCTTTGTTTTCTTCTTCTTCTTCTTCTTCTTCTTCTTCTTCTTCTTCTTCTTCTTCTTCTTCTTCTTCTTCTTCTTCTTCTTCTTCTTCTTCTTCTTCTTCTTCTGCTGCTGCTGCTGCTTCTTCTAATTTTTCTTTTGATCCTTTGCCTCTGCTGCTCCTACCATTGCTGCTTCAGCTGCTCCTACTAATAATACTACAGCCGGTCTGCTTGTGCTGCAGTACTACCTACAATTTTATATTCAGCATTATCATGCAGCTGCTACTGATGTGGCTTCTACTACTACTCCTACAACAACTACCACACCACCACCACCACAATAATCACTGCTATTACTACCGCCACTTCTACTTCTTGAAACTCTTATTGTTCTGTCTATTTTTTTTTTAACTAAAGTTTCCAGACTAACGAACGAGCAAAACACTTACAAATATAATCCTCAACAAAAACATCTGTCCGTCATATCAGCTTTCTACTCCATTTTGAGTCACTAATATAGTGCCTGGCGGCAAGAACGAATGTTTAGCCACTAGATAAAAAGTACACGTTTAGAGTTATGTTTTGAATACTGGGAGGCAGACTTCCTTATAGGTATCTGGGCAGGATATTTTCTTCTGCGGGCATAAAGTGTCTAATAAAAGGTGCCGGTATGGATCAAATAGTGTCTAATGCATTAGAGCAGCGGTTCTTAACCTATGGGCCGCGACCCTTATTTGGGCCGAACGACCCTTTCACAGGGGTCGCCAAAGACCATCGCTAAACAAATTGTCATCAAAGTTAGGAAGTAGCGACGAACATTATTGATGGTTCGGGGGGGGGGGTAAGGGGGGGGGGGTCGCTACAACAGGAGGAACTGTATTAAAGGGTCGAGGCATTAGGGAGGTTGAGAACTACTGCGTTAGCGCATTAAAGAAAAATTCCGATACCTATAGGAGCAGCTGGTCGAACAGTTTGGATGGCGGGACTCTCAGGCGGGTCACCCAGGTCGAATCCTCAGTAAGGTTGGGGATTATGTTTTTTTTTCTGTCGGGGGTTTAAAAAAAAAAAAAATTCTAAGCTGCACAGTCCATACCGACAGCAGTAGCCATGCGGCCCTAAATCCCCAGACTCAAAGACACCACCTCTAACCCGTCTACACAAGTGGTAAACACAGAAATTAATGGAAGTTTTGACAGTAAATAGTTTTACTGAGTACCTTCAAAAATAGACCATGATCCAGAGTATGTTCTAAATCTGGAAAGCTTTATCGATTGTACAGATTTGCATCTGATATAGGCTGAGTTAACACAGCTATGATCACACTGAATTTTAAACTTTATTTCATTATTCTATACAGTGGGACCGGTGCTTGGGAGCTCAGCCGCCTTGCACCCCCCCCCCCCCCCGGCCACCCGTGAAACTTACATGGTGATATTATAAAGCACAGGGAGCCCCAGCAGTGTAGCGGCTAGACGTTCGCTTGCGGACCGGAAAGTCGTGGGTTCGGGTTCTAGCAGAACGGCGACTCCCTACGTATGTCAAGTTGCCACAAATAACAATTTCATTTCTGTGAGTGGCTGTCGTAAGAGCCCCAGTATTCTTGTTGGTCCAGCGTACATAAGGCTGTTCAGACGGCTCTGCTCAACGTCATCTGAAAATACAGTAGACAACTCAACGTCTTCCCAGATGTAACTGAAACATACTTCAGAGATGATTATCTTGAGTTTTCAAATGCTAGAATGATTGCCTGTACTTCAATTCCTATGACAGCTGCATCTGGTTATTGTCCTTGCAGTCATCCACGCGAAATCATTTGAATATACTGTTAACAACTCAACATCATGATACTCCAAACAAAATTTTCACCAATGATGAGCAACCAGCAGCTACTTGAGTTTTCGACCGTTGTATTAGGAATTATGTATTCTGTGTTGTCAAACATCAACAAATTGACAATAGTGAGCTTAGAAAACTACCGAGTTATATTCAAACAAACAGAGGAAACTAAAGCTTTTAATCAGCAGAAGGAACAGATTAGGATCAACGGAGATCAACGAAGTCGGAAACTCGAAGAGCAGTGTCCAATTTGTGACAACTGCGTAACAGCAAGAAATTTGCGACTCTTTTATGTTGCGGAATGACGTTTTTTGTTTTGTTCGATTCGCAATTTTAACGACCAATTATGGATCACTAGGGAGCGTCATCTTACAGTGGACGGGAGCTTATTGGCTAAGCTCTGATTTTAGCTCACAGAACCCGTGCTAGGATCTCAGATTGAGAAAATATAGAAGCCTATACAAGCCACTGTAGTGGAAGTGTTGAGCGCTGGATAGAGACATTCATCAAAGCCATAAAAGCCACTGTAAAAGATAACTCGTATTATACAATAAGTATGCGTCTGTGGCTTAGGTGTTGCAAACGTGCTTTGTAATTCCAGGCTGATGGTTTGATTCCAGCTGCAGGCGATTTGGCAGCAGACCCCCATGCGTTAAATGCGATAGTGGCAAACCACTGAACGTCGGTCGAGTCGCCTAGTAAAACCACAACAGCCACATTTCTTCCAGATTTACGGTATTTATCATGGAATCAAAGCCGAAAGGTTGCGATATCCATAATACCGAGCCTAAGGGTTAACAACTCATGGCTTCTGGATACAAAAAAAAAATCTTCTCGTTAAAATATTCTTCCTAATGTTCCATTGAAACTCCTCTTTTTCTCAGTTTGTTTCCTATTTTAGTGCTTGTTTTGTCATTCTCACCAGTTCCTTCACCTTTACTTTATGACTTACTTTACAACTAATCACTTTATGGCTTACTTTATATTATTGTGTTAATTACTTTATTATTTACTTTATTATTAACTTTTATAATAATTTTTTGTATTACTAGTTCACGTATTATAACTTTACTGCTCACTGTTCTATTAACGGTACTACTCACTTTACTACTTACTTTACTAATTACCTTATTACTTACTTCATTATTAACTTTAATAAGTGATGTACTGGTTACTTTAAGATTGACTGTATTAGTCACATTACTGCTCCTTTAATGCTGAATATATTACTCACTGTCCTATTTACTTTACAAATACTACTGCGTTACTGTTAACTTTACTACATACTTTACTACTACTTTATAGCTTACTTTACTACTTTCCTTACTTCTACTCCATTATTTCTTCATTTATACTTACAACTTTACTGCTTACTTTACTACTTTCTCGTCCAGTTACTTAAATAGAACTTCACTATTTGCTTCACTACTAACTACATAACACGCTTAACTTCCTATTCTTCTTTTGTCGTTTTACTGATACCAGGTTGTAGCAGCCTAGTGTCGTGCTTTTCTGTACCTGTCTTGCGAATCTCGGGTGGATTGAGTGATGGATTTGTTCATCTTCTTGCAGGTTTCATCTACACCTTATCTCCATCTCTTTCTTGATCTTCCTCTCGCCTTTCTCTCAAATGTTCTACTGTAAAAAGTCTCATATGCAGTCTGGTCTGGCTGCATTCTCACTAGATGGCCGAACCAATTTATTCGTTGTCCGTCAGTACAACATAGACATGGTCTCTTATTCCAATGCAGGTATTCGTAACCCTGTCTCGTCTTGTGTTGATAGTGACCTTGCGGAGACAGCGCATTTCACATAAAGTTATTTCTTATTTTGGTGCTCTATTCATTGTCCATGTTTGGCACTGATAACATGAAGTAGGGAGGTTTGAACAACGGATCAACATCATAAGATACGGGTGTAACCCATAAGTGCTCCATTCTTCTTCTAACTCAAGTCTGAGTCTAAAGAAGTTCAGCGCTGTGCACATGCTCTGTAGCACCGGTGAGGATCCTGAAATACTTTGGGTAGATTTTTAACTCAAAATTTTGCCATGGCAGCGCCGTTATGCTACTTTTTTTATTTTCAACCGCCAAGGAATTTTTTACGTGACCAACAATGCACACGGGAGTCCGATCACTACCCTGAGACCAGTGGTAATTACTAAAAGTCCAAGTCCACGTGAAAAAATCCCTGCCCTTACCGGAGATTGAACCCCGAACCTCTAGCACTCGAGGCGGACACCATGCTTTAAGGCCACGAAGCTTCCTAAAGTAGGTATAAAGATGCTATTAATATTTTTGCTGTTTAGTTGCAAGGGAGGCAAATGGGTGTCTAAGCAGTGGTGCCAACTGGTATGTGACAGCATTTGCCTTCTGTACTCTGGCTTCTAAGATCTGAACATCAAGGAAGATTGGCTTTAAAACAGCATCCTGTCTCGGAAGCTGAAATATTTTGATCATATGAAGCGCCAGGACGGATCGGAAAAGATTATAGCAGAAGGCATGGTACCAGGAAGGAGGGTCAGGGACCGACCGACACAGATAGGCACATGATATAAGTGACTCCTTGAGTATTAAAGTACATGAGGAGGGAGAGCTGGCGAGAGACCGAGTTTCTTCTAGGCAGACCGTGAGGAGAGCGACGTTCTGCAAGGGACCTGCAACATGATAATGATGACTCTGGCTTCTACCCTCTGTAGAGTCTGCTATCAGTAAATAAGCTTCCTAGATATTTGAATTCTCGTACTTGTGTGATTGCAGTACCGTTAACATGAACGTTCATGATATTATATTTCCTGCCTCTCCTTATTATCTCAGTTTTCGCGATGTTTATTATATTGTCATAGTTTATGCAGGCGCGATGTAAGAAGTCAGTATGGTGTTGTCAATTCTGTTCTTGATCGTCTACAAAAAGAAGTTCATTGATTTCTTCAGTGTCTGTACTGACCTCCGGTGTTATTCTGTTCATGCTTAACGACTTACTTTATTATTTACTTTACTAACTGCTGTAGACTTACTTTATTATTTACTTTACTAACTGCTGTAGACTTACTTTATTATTTACTTTACTAACTGCTGTAGAATTTCCCCTCTCTAAAAAATAGACATAATACGTTTTCTATCTTCTGTAGAAAATTCACAGCGATGGGACAGCGTCACGACAGCATAAACAAGTCCAGAAATGAGGCTGCAATAGACTTTCAATCTCCCAACTGTAACGTCGTCAGAAGCAGCGAGGTGATCAATTGTCAGCCGAAGCTTGATAATGCTTTCTTCAACCCTAAAGACACAGAACCAGTCAAAGCAGCGGCGGTGGACACAGAGTGTGTGTACAAATTCGGAAATTACGCTAACTGCTCTCGACCAGGAAGTGTGGATGATTTCAACGTAGCAGGTCGTTCACGTTCTAAAGGTATTACTTTCTAATACTAATAAGATACTAACGTTGTTGAACTGTTCAAGTTGTTCTCTCTCTCTCTCTCTCTCTCTCTCTCTCTCTCTCTCTCTCTCTCTCTCTCTCTCTCTCTCTCTCTCTCTCTCTCTCTCTCACTTCCCCCCCCCCCCCCAAACAGGATCATGTGTATCAGAAACAACCAGAACTTTGCGCCGGAGTTTACATCCGGTGAACGCGAAGAAGAAAAAAAAAAGAAGAAGAGATGACTGAGTACAAGAGACAGAATGTTGTCGATAGACATGACTGTCAAGGCCACACGGCATTGACTCTAGGAAGAAAAAAAGCGGCTCTTCGAGTCTGACTGACTGATTTTCTACCCCACCAGGACATCACACAAGCGATAAGCACCCGA